AGATTGGTGAGACAAAGCCTGAACCGACCGAGACTGGCAATGAGGAAAAGAAGACTGGTGAGACAAAGCCTGAGGGAAAGAAGACTGGTGAGACAAAGCCTGAACTGACCGAGACTGGCAACAAGGAAAAGAAGATTGCCAGTGAGAAACGAAAGCCTTGTTCGACCAGATCATCGAAGGCATGTCCGCGCAATGAGAATGAGGTTAAGGGTTTGACTCCGCCTGACCTCACCAACATGGAGGCTCATGGGTGGTTGAAAATGTTTCAAGCTACATTTAAAAGAGCCGGGTTTATGTGTTAAAACAGTTTTTTTAAATACAACTTTGACTTGATCCCACAACCCAAAGGCTCCGGTGGTACTTCACTCGAAGCAAAAGGGGGTCCTGGACGTGAGCGCTGATGGCGACGGTGGTGAGTGTGGAAGGGGTCGGGGCGGCCGTGGTGGACGTGGGCGTGGACGTGGCCGAAAGCAGAAACCTGTTGAAGTGGTCGAAGTTGATTCTGGTGAGGGTGAGGAGGAGGAGGAGGAGGAGGTCCCTGCTGAGGCACCTGCTCAGCGTAAAAGGAAAAAGGCAGAGCCGAATGCTGCCCCAGTCTCCGACAAGAAGACAAACAGGAAGAGAAAGACAGTCGAAGCAGAAGAGCTTGGGCCTGCGCCCAAGAAAAAGCCTGAGGCCAAGGTGAAGCCTGAGGCCAAGGTCAAGCCTGAGCCCAAGGAGAAGGTGGCAAAGGTCAAGAAGCCCAAGGACTCCAGGCAGCCTGAGCAGGTTGAGGAGCAGGAGCTCGATGTTGCAAAGAATGCCAAGGACACCAGGGGCAAGAAGCGGCCTCGCGATGGCGAAGAATGCGCAACTTTTGCCCGGCGATACTGTCCTAAAGTGGAGCCTTCAGCTTCCAAGTGGAAAGCGCTCAAAGATGTCTTCAACCAGGAGATCAAGCCCAAGACGAAGTGCTCTTCCAAACTTCAGGTTTGGTTCATGAGATGTTTAAAGCTAACTCCAAAAAAGGTGTTGAAATTAGACAGCCCATGTTTATGCACCCTTTGCTTGCTCCCAAAAGAACTGTTGGAAGGCGGAGTTTTGGGATGCGTGTGGCGCTTCCGGCAAGTTCACGGGCCTGACAACGTATGATGACTTCTTTGCTGCAGCCAAAGCTTTGGCTGTCAGCTTCCCAGGACCTTTGGTGGTAATCTTTAAGTTTTCCTTTTGTTCCCCCTATCTTACATAAAGCTTCCTACAACTCTTCCTACACTATCCTGCAAGTTCTGTGAGGATCCATTCCTGAGAATGGTGCGGAGCAACCAGCTGCGGCACTGCCAAACGACTCTCAGTGATGGGAGTGCTGGCCGGCTACAGTTTTGTTTGAATCCATGGAGTGATTCAGACTTTTGGGGTTCAAGGGCTGTGAAAGTAGCCCAATTCAAAGTGATACCATCTGGATTCGTGCAACTGCTCGAGGGAAGTAGCTACAGTAGCTTTAGAACCTTCGTGGCAGCTGTAAGTAGAAGTCAGTCTTACCGTGGCGTTGATCTTTCAACGGAAAAAAGCAAAGCCAATACTTATTTTTGCAGTGGTGATTCCCCTCTTCAGTAGTTACAGCTGACAGGTGGCAAATTTCAATGCCCCGGTCTGAAACCTAGAAGTCTGTTTTCCCGTGCTTCCCACATTTCCAAAACCTTGTGTGGCCCTAGGCGTTCGCACATCCCGACTGCAGCACTCATCCGTGGCTATGGTGCCAACGTGGGTCTTCCCGACACGAGTTTTCAAATAACAGCGCTGCAGTAAAACCATTGTCGTCCAAGATCTCAAGCCCACTAGCTGGCAGCCAAGAGATCTCAAGTGGGGCATAAACTGACAGCAATGGCACTGTCACCGGAACATTTCGATGTTGTGATAAACCGGCTGATGACACTGCAGCTACCTACAGTGACCTGTCCACAGAAATTGAAATTGGAATGGGGCATTCATGTGAAACAGGTTTTGCCAGTGCCTTGGCTGCCGGCTACTACCACTAGCTCGCTAGCTGAGGACTTTATATGGTTGGTTATCTTTGTGCAATTCTTTGACTTCGGTGGAGCTGGAGAAACCTTGGAAAACATCCAAGTACTGGAGCTGTTCAGTGGGGTGGCCAGGGTAGCCAAAACAGCTACCCGATGTGGGTATTCCTCCAGGGCTTATGACATACTCTATGACCGTGACCACAAGAGAAAGTTTCGCTTCTCAACCCACAACCAAAGAAAAAAGAGATCCTTTATGGATTTGAATGGAGCCGCAGGCATCGCGTTCCTTGAATAATGTTAGTTATACTCTTAAACAAAGGACATTGAGGCTGAACCTTGTCTTTACCCTTTGGTGTTATTTCTTTAGCATTTGTTGGTGTATCTCGCTAGCTACTAACTTGCAATGCTCAGCCACCTTCCAAACCCAAAACCCATCAGCCCAAACCGCAACGGCCCTTCACTCCTGAGGTTGGCAGTGTCCCTCATTCTTCGTGGCCAATTCGGATCCCTGGTGACGCTGCTTGCAATCGTTTGCAGCAGTTGGTCTGCTGTGAATCTGGGTACGAGTGAACGAGATGAGTTGGTTCCTCTTGGTGCTACCTACAAGCCATCTGTTCGAAGTGCCAACAAAATGGTTTCCAGGACTGGTGTTTGCTAGGGTTACGTGGGTCCAAGCTTCTCAAACAACCACCCACTCCCAAAGGTCAATCCTTCCTATCTTGGTTGACAGGTGTATCCTTCTGATGGCCTTGATTGTTTGCATGGACTCCGTATTCGTGGTCGAGAATCCCGGTGGATCATGCATTTTGGCACACCCACGGTTTCAATGGTTCATCAAAGCACTGAGGGATGCTGGCGTACCAGTCTTCTTGAAACAGTTCAACAACTTTTTTGTGGTTGATTTCCTTGTCTTTGATGGGGGGCTAAAGTTTATAGTCAATCTGGGGATGGAAGCCCCTCTTGAGCTAAGGTCACTCAAGTCTTCTTTTGGATGGGGAAGCACGGAGCCGCCACAGACAAACGCACGATGTGTTTGTCAAACAGTCCGGCCATTTGCGCTTTGGATTTGGGTCCTTTGAAGAAATCAAAAAAGAAGAAGAAGGAGAAGCAACCTCGACAGAAGACATGTGTTCAGTATCGTGACAAAACTGGACGTATCCGATACAAAGGCGTAGGATTGAAAAAATCACAGACGCTTGACCACCTAGATTGGTCAATTGTCTAGTTGCTGTATAATATAATAGTATTGTTGGGTATTATGGTTTCTTTCATTTCAATTTTACTTGCAATCTCAGGATTTACACCCCGCGGTTTGCAAAGTCGGTAGTGGACCTGATCCCAAAGCTCCTGGAGCAGGGCTCTGTTCGTATTCCCCTCAACA